AAAAAAACATAGCTCTCTGTCCCATTTTAGTTGAGAATTTGGTGTCGACGAATATGCGAGTGATGATACCAAACCTTCCAATTACGTCAGTTGTTCCGACATCATTTACTAATACATATACATGTTGGAATAATAATAATGCTCAAGTTCAGTATGAACCAATGGAGTAAGTGAAATGCGCTAAAAAAAAGCCATTTTTGAAAGAATCATAGTATAAATCAAGAATTGAATGCTATTAGCAGTTTTTTTCTATTTTAAACGTAGTTTTCAATTATTTTGAATTCTTCTTTCATATGTGTGACTATGAATATGACGATCATTTAAACTTCATAGCCTTTATTCTCAGATCGATGCAAAATATGTTTCATTGTATGTTCACAAAAAAAGCTTCTCACTCTGAAATCATCTACTAAGTATTTGTATTTATTTCGGTTTAGTTTATTATTTACCTAAATTTTGTTAGTTTTAAAAAACATGCTAAGATAAAGCTTAACTCTCATTTCAAACTTGCTTGATTGGATTGTTTCATTATTGGATAAAAAAACATTGAAATGGATGCGAAACTGTATCAATATGATGAATATTGAAGTAGGATTCACAAAATATGTTATAATTTATATAAGAAAGATATCAGCCTAATTGTATATTTATTGCATTGTGTTTGTCAGTTTTGTTTCGAATATATTAAGACCTGAGTATAAGAATATAACTGACTTATAACAATATAAATAGACAGATCAGATCCTATAAGGTAGGCATTTAGTGATCGTAATAAAACCATCTGATCGATTCTTTCGTACGAACGTGTGTTAATCAATAAAACTGAACTAAGAGAAAAACAAGTGTCAGTTTGATTCATTTATTCTTAATAGCGTAATAAACGAAAATAGAAGTTAGTTTCCAGTGATAGATTCTACGTCATCAATGCTCTTTTTGTTTTAGACTACCTACTTTACAGACTACATCAGATCCCGTATCATCTAATATGACCCTAGTCGACCGTATGACAAATGAATATTTATCTGAACTTAATAATATCCAAACAAGTCAACCATATATGACTGATATCATGTCTACCAACGTTAGGCAAAATCTCATCGATAACATTAATAGAAACAATCGCGTCAACCCCTGTGAAGAATTAATGGATTGCCTACCTGTGACTACAAGTTCTAATGCATCCATAAATAACCAAACTAAATCACATATCGAGACGGTATGTAACAATTTTTAAGAAAGTAATACTTAGAATACACCAGAATATTATACTATCTGAAAAAGAAATATATATGAAACCGAATTTGTTTCATACTCTGTAGAATCTATAAAACGTTATTAGGATTCGTGAGACGAAAATATATAGGATGTAGAACAAACATGATCAGAAAAATGAAATCAAAATTTTCATTATGAGATCTGTTTTTTTAGAAAACAAAAATATGTCTATAGATTAGATAAAAGTTCCTGCTTATTCGTATGCATTAAGAACATTTAGAAAATTGACCAGAGGTTTCATTTTTAGTTTTTGAAAAGACTCACTGTTAATTCTACAATTAAGATTAAATTGCAAAATAGAATGATATTTTGTTGTGATAAGTATTACATGATTTATATACTATTTTCTAGTACAAGCGATACTGAATTGTGTAATTGTTCTTAACTTCCTTGAGAGACTCGCTTATTTTTTATAAATAGCAAAAATTCATTATTGGATATATATGAAACTAAACGAACCAATGAGATAGATCAATTTCATCAAACCTATAAAATACTGAAATTTATTGATAATTATGTTTGCAGTAACGTTCAATAAAAAATTCATATAAAGATCTATGATACATTTGTAAGAAAATGGACATGAATAGAATAGTTTTAATATTTATTATTAACTGGGCTTGCTCCTCTATTATCTCACAAAAGTAGAGGTTATCACTGAGGATTTTTTAGAGAATTCTTTGATATATATAGAAGAATAATAGAAGATATATAATGTGAATTGTCTCGTTAAGTAATTGTATGGTTTTATGCAATATTTTTTTTAATCAAATTTTAAATCTCTTTAGAGTAATCCATCAACATTTTCATTATCTACACTTATTTCAACTGTTAACGAAAAAAACGATAACAACAATAAATCAAATTCAAACCAATTATCTAAACATCAAAACACACTGTTTGTGTCAGGTTTACGAAGTAATGTAAGTAAAAGTGATATATACAATCATTTTACTGATTGTATAAAAGTTATATTCAAGCAATATCATTCAACACCACATTTAAAGTATATTCGATATGTCTTATTTATTTAAATGCTAAATGCATATCTTTTTTCTAGATATGCTTTTGTTGTTCATCGTACACATGAAAAAGCTAGACGTAATCTTCGTCGGCCTATAAATCGATCACTTCTTGGTTCACAATGTCGTGTCGAATGGAACACTCATTGTTCAAATTTTTCTATTAATGAACAAAATATTGAGAATAGAAAAATCGTGATCCGTGGAATACCAGAAAATGTGATTGAGAACGATTTGCGTGACTTATTCGTCAACTGTCACATACTGAAGTATTGTCCTGCACGTCGTATCTACTCTTCAGCAACTACAATGGAAACCAAAGGTCAAAATAAAATTTTGCCAGGGTAAAAAAACCGGATTTTTTAGTAATGCTCCATCTAAGTATAATTATCTTGAGTAAAAGGTCCGACTTTGAGTGAGTCCTCTTAACTAAGTCTATGACTGGATTGATAAAGATACGATTTTTTATTTATTTCTCTCTTCATTCGTATGTTCATTATCTTTTATGACAAGCTATGTTGTGTTTATTTCATGCTCTCTACATCAGTCTGAAAAAGTTTTTATAACAGATGTTATTTCTCAATCACAATGCTGTTTAATGATAGATTATTCTTTTTTTCGTAGAATTTGTCCTGAATCTCTTCTCATTTGGTTGCTTTCTACATTACATTAGCTCTATTAGCATAGGATGATAATATTGCCAGAGAATAAAAATTTGTACATGATGTCATCATATGTATTTACTACTGTCATATTTATTGAAATAGATTCCTTAAGTCGGCATGATCTTCTTGACATAATAGATGATAATTCATTTACTAGTTACATATATGAATAAAAAGTGACTACATACTCTAATTCATGTGACATGAAATAATAATTAACAAGTGAACCGAAGAATGAATAAAATACTTTTGGATCACAAATATTGAATGTTCGAATCAGAAACAGCACTATATAGTATTAATCAAAAAATACATATTCATGTTGCTTATAGTAATAATGTAATTATTCACACCATCAAACCTGTGTTTCAGACAAAGATTGATTGAGATATATGGAATCTATATAAAAAACGTGTCCTCTGAAGTGAATATATTGTGTTCACTGCTCTTTAATCAACTATTTGCGATTTCTTTTCTTTTCTCTTTTATGTCTTTATGATAGAATAAATGTTAACACTTGATATCTTGATATAGTTCATATAAATAAAGTAATATTCTGTTGAAATAGTGAAAGATATCCGACGTTCTCTAGTTAAGATTATATTATTTCAAACAGTTCAACTTATTCATTTGGTAAACTTCATTTATCTTAAACTACGATATATCGATATAATTTTAATTCATCTGCATTTATTTATTTTTCTATAGGTATGCTTTTCTTATCTACGATACCGAACAACAAGCAGCAAACGTAATTGAACGAGCCGATCAATATAAAATCAATGGACAATCACTAGTTATTTCTTTATATCATCATTAAAGATGATTGTATGCAACAATAAAGAAAACAATTCGTTAATTACAACCTTATTTTTTAATAGACATGTTGTTATATCTTCTGTATAGTAGAAATGCAAAAAGAATAGATTGTTTTAATAAAGATTAGTAAGAAAGGACAGATATCATATAAAACGAACGAAATGTTTTTCAATAAATGACTCCGGATTATATCACCATTTTAATCAGCTGACAATAAGCCGTATAACAAGTTCAGATAAGAAACAATTCAGAAATAGCAAATGAAATTGATAAAATAGTATAGTGAGAATGTTGTATGTGGACCGGTTACTACAAATGATCGCAGAATTAATAAGATTGAATTACCTTAATCAATGCGTACACATGTCGCTGTCTTTCAGCTTTTACCAGACATAACGGCGTACAAGACTGACTTTGACTTTCAAGATCGGTGTGGGTATTAGTGTGGATGAAGCTGAAGATGACACACCCACACCCACACTCTCATGATCGTAATTTGTGAAAAAAAATATATATTAGAAGAGTGGAACAATAGTATTTGAAACAGCTTGCATAAACACTTATGAAACATCAGCTTCTCTATTCTATATAAGAACTGATTCAATCGAAGAATATTCGTTGAGCACGATCGGTGGTGACTTTCTTTAAAATAGTGTCTATTTTATTAGAAAAAAATTCAAGAGTTTAAGTATCAACGTAAAACCATATCCTATTTATTGAATATAATACTTTTATATTCATCTATTAGTTACATGAAAAAGATTAGACGCATTAGATATACAAGTGAATAGAAACGTTGCACTATTGAAGATAAACATTCAGGAAAATTTATTTATTGTAAATAAGATGGTGAGGGTCAATATTCTCTCTGATGGTTTTGTTTAGTATAAATCGTAAGATTAAATAAAACTGATTAATCTGAACATTGATATAAATAATACTATCTATTTTTTTCTGTTCTTCAATTGACACATGTCATCTATTACGTATACAAAATTGTCTCTGAGCTGTTTGTTGACTTATAACGTCACATTTTGTTTTTCATTCGACAGAACGTTATCATCGAGCAAAGAGTTACACGACAAAGATAACATATATCGCCTTGAAGAAAAGAGTCTAACACAATTAATAATAGATGGATATGGAAGACAATTATGATAGTGAAGTAACACCAATGATTCAATCAGATCCATCTCTGAATTTGTCGCCAACTAAACAAAATTCTAATAACAGATTATTTACATCATTCTTAATTTTGTTCCTTGTTTTCATATTTATCGCCATTGTTGCGGTACCTATACTTCAAATCGTTCTTGGTTCGTTATATATCAATGAATGCCCGATTGATCATCGAATTCCAATTTATCTAATTGTTGCTGGTGGTGCAACATTAATCTTGTTCATCACTCTTGCTATGAAGGTACAATTTTCTTTGAAGATCATTTATATTACGTTTTTATATTATCTTTGTTTTTGAAGATCATTATGGAGAAATCATCTTTGTGGATTATTCCTCATGGATTGGCAGTTTTATTTTGTTTGGGTTGGTTTATAACTGTAAGGAAAAACAATAGACTTCGATCACTCTGATAAATTCGTTTTATTCGTATTTAGGGAAGTGTTTGGATTTTTCATGCTAAAAGCAAAGTTCAACACTATCGTCCTGATATTTCAAGCACTTACTGTCAATATTCCGTATTTAATTGTGCTTTTGGTACACTATTCATCAGTTATGGCTTTCTCTTCGCTAGTGTATGGAATAATAATAACAGTTCAAAATAAATATATTTATTTAACATTAATATTTTCTGTATTCTTTTTTATCAATGCCATATACTCAAGTAAAAAGGGTGAGGGTGTGGAAGATTTATTCATTGTTGTAGTATGTTTTATTCATTCAAATATATCTGAAGACTACAGTAACGCGATGAACATATCGTAAACGAAGTAAATAAAATTCAAATGGTTATAGATATTACAGTGTATATTCAATTAAATCAAAAAAATATTGTAGACATGTTACTAGTACAATAAAATTTGAGATTTTACATAAAACAGTTGGGAGGAGTTAGATTTCCTTCTCCTTTTTTGTTTCATATTTTTCCTTATATAGTTCGATTATTCATATAACATAGAATGTAAGAAAAGTAGACTTATTTCCCTTGTTGTTTTATTTATATGTGTAATAATATTCTATCAATAGAAAGTTCACAGCGATTCTTTATTATAAATATTGATTTGAATCACAGAACGTTTCTTTTATTCTTCTGTATGTCTGTCTCATATATTTTTATTTATCAGCAACATCTACTATTTTCATAGAATTGTATGCGTATGTACTATATGAATACAAAATCGATTTATAATATTGCTCCTTAGTACATCTGATTTTAAATCGCTATATTAATCGTACATATCGTCATTTCTTTCTATTATTTTTTTTATATATCAATCAAGATGAATATATGTCAAAACATGACAATACAAACATAAACTGAGAAGAAACGAGTTTAATTGATATTTCTCTTCTAGTATAGTTTGTCTATGACTTAGCGAAGTTTAGACTCAATGATTTATTTTTTTGTTATTTCAAAGCAAAAATAATGCGTGCAAATATAATGATAGCATTACCAATAGTGATTTGATTGCTTTTCATGTAATGAAAAATGTTCAACTTTTTATTCACTTGGGAAATTAATTCGTACGTTGAATTAGTCCCGAGTCTTTTCGAAAGATGATCAACACCTAAAAAAGAAACTCATCTCTTCATTTTTACGAAATACATAGTTTCAAAAAAGTCTAATCCTTAATAAAAAGAAAAAATAGTTGACAGCTTCAATCATATATGATATAATATTCTTATTTTAACTGATTATTGTTTTAACTTGACCTTTCGTATTGTATCAGAATTTTGTAATTAATCGAAATAATCGCATTAGACGATGTAAATATGAAATTGTAATTCATTGATGTGACATGTATTTTTCTTTCAGGTGATATTTTTAATGTAGATACTGATAGATAATGTCTTTTTTCTTTCTATTAATAATACAATAATCGTTTACGCTCCCTCTTGATATGCTTCTCAATGAATAAAACCTTTTTTTCTTTTCTTAACGCCCATAGCGATATTGATCATTAAATCAACACTAGTAGGTGTTTTATATGTGAACAGGAATACAATGATTATTTATACTCAATAGAAAGAGTTTTGTTTTTTATATTATAAACAGATGTTAACGTTCAGGAATAATTGTGAGTTTCCGATATATTATATTTATAAATTTAACGATTATTTTTTATTATTATTTTTTTTCATTCATTTTAATATATGTAACAATTTTTTCTTGACAGATTATTGATTAAATTGTTACATTCGTATGCAAATACAAAAATATTACTTATGATTTCTAATGAACATTGTTCTTCATTATCAGCAAGTTATCGATCAGCTAATAGATCATCAATTCCTAATAGTCAAAATGGTCTCAATCAAATCATAACATTATCTCCGATGGGTTTACCAACTCCTAAATCAATACCATCTACTCCATGTTCTCGATATACAAGAAGAAAACATACGAGTGTACTTAGTCATGAAATTCGTAATGTTTTCAGTAGAAAACCAAGACTATCTATAGAAGCTACAATGGCTATGATGGGTTACCGAATACGTATGAGCAAATTCTTAAATGCTCGACTGTAATAAATAATTTATTTCATTTTCTTATTAATAATTCTTGTATTTTTTTTTCCTAGTGCTTTAGTAAGCGATATAATGTGTTTTCTTGGTATTACGGGTCTTGTTCTTATGATAGCTGAAAATGAATTAACATTCAATCGTGTTAATAATGGAGATACTCAAGCTAGCTGGTCAATTAAATTAATTATTAGTGCTACTACAACGATGCTTCTCGGTCTTATTTGTTATTATCATTATTTAGATTTAAAACTTTATACGGTTCGAAATGCTCTTGAAGAAATTCGTGTTGGTATAACAAAAAGTAGAATATGTTGGTTTATAAGTGAAATCGTGATTTGTGCTGTTCATCCAATGCCTCGATCTAGTCCTCATTTGAATTCTGAACTGTTAAGTTCATATATAAGTTTAAATTCAACTCATACTCGTTCTCTATCCTATACAGCTGTTGATGTTGGATTAGGTTTACCAAGTAAAGTATTTCTTTTTTTTTGCTAATTATTTATTAAATAAAAAAAATATTTTATTTCAAGTGTTTTTACGTCTTTATTTACTTGGTCGATCAGTTATGTTTCATTCACATTTATTTCGTGATGCATCATTACGATCAATTAATTGTCTTAATCAAGTTTCAATAAATTTCTTCTTTCTACTTAAAACCTATCTTGAACAATGGCCAGTACGGTGCTTAATGACATTTTGTATTATTGCCTTTTTTATTGGAAGTTGGTGTTTGCGTGCATGTAGTTATAAATCAACAGGAGAACATTTTTCCTTACCGGATGCAATGTGGCTTTTTATTATTACATTTACAACTATTGGTATGTATTATAAAATGAACCTTGTTAGAGAAAAACTAATCAAACTAATATTTCTTAGGATATGGAGATGTATATCCCACGTCATATTGTGGACGAGGTAAATAAAATATTCTTCTTGAGATTTGAAGTATATAATTTTATTTATTAGGTATTGCGTCTTTAACTGGATTGATTGGTCTTTTAGTATCTGCTCTACTTATAACTGTTCTTACACAAAAACTTCATCTAACTCGTGAAGAAAAATATGTGCATACATTTGTATTGAATACAGAATTAGCGAAAGAACGTCAAAATCATGCAGCAAACGTTGTAAAGTTTTCCATTAAAATTTGGTTTTATAAACGACAAAATAAAATGAAATATCTTCCATGTTTACATGCACAACGGCATTTATTTCAATCAATATCGAATTTAAAACAAATTAAAAAAACACAAAGATATTTAACAGATCATTGTGTAGATTTACATGAAGTAATGACAGTACAACGTAATACAAATGCACAAAATGATGAAACAATACAACAAATGACAGAAATGAAATGTGACATGAAACAAATTGAAGCTAAACTTAATAATATAACAAATAGAATGGACAATTTACAAATGACTCTTAATATGTTATTGAATAGATAAATATTGTGTTGTGTTCTTGTTTGTATATATTTAGAAAAAAATTCATTTTTCTAATATCATATATTTTTCATTAATCAATAGTATTGGATCTGAAACAAAAGGATATTATTTTCCTTTAAAACAAATCATGAAGAAATAATACTTTAACAGGCATTTACTTTTCTCATTTCATAATAAATTTTATGAAAAATGAGAAACAATGTAATATATATGTATTGTGTGATACATGTTATAATAATGAAGTTTCTATTATTTAAGCTGGTTTAGTTCGTGAGTGTCAATGTACAGGGTTCCCGGTTGTTTTCAAAAATGGGAGGGATAAAATTTGGCGGAAAGACAAATAGGTTTTCGAATTTGGGGGGGGGGGGGGGACTAGACCTCCCCAGACCCACCCTGATCAGACACCCTGTCAATATAAAATTCTTTTAATATTAGTATGATCTATGGATTGACCCAGATATTGAAGTACCATTAAGAAATAAGAGATTCAAATTTATGATGTTTATGTAAGTAACTGTAAACTGATTGCCTAGTGAATGACTCTTCGATTGTTAATCTACTAAAACGAACTATGCTTTTAAATAATGTTTTTTTTTATAATTAGTTTATGCTGGATTCTTTTATTTATGAGTATTAAGTATAACGGACAGAATGAATACGTAGTTTTGATTTATTTATACATCCTCCTATGGTAAGCACTTGTACGACACAACAATATATTTATAAATGACATTCTTTCAATTGGAAAGTAAACCGTATATATTGGTTTGAGATCATTACGCATACGTAATAATAGAATATAATTACAAAATCCACATGAATAATTATCTACTCAAGGAAATTAATAATTTTCTTTTATTTCAATAGAATTAACTATATTTGTGTGTAAATAAAATGATGTAGTTATTATTAAATGTTGAATAATACAACAAGAGAAAATATAGTATAATTGAAACATCGTCTTCTATTGATATTAAAATATTTAAGTTTTCATATTGGGTGGTTTACATAATTTGTACTTTTGTCTATACATCTTTTTAGATTATTTAATATTAAGGAAAAAGTGGCAATGCATTCTCTATGACACAGATTTTCAGTTAATTAATGAAACGTATATAATAATAGTAGGATATATTATTATCCGATAGAATGAAATAAGAAATAAAACAATCGTCTATTTATGTGTCAAATATTAACTTCTGAGCAAAATAGTTTATAATTGAAAAAATAAAATTTGTTCATTCATTTTTTTGACTGGAAATGAATCTAATTTTTGTGCTTCAATAAATGCATGACGTGCAATAGACCATAAGTCTTTATAATATACCGATGTATCATCATCCATTGTTATATTAATTTCATTTGGTAAGAGAAGTGTTTCTAACCGACCACCATACGAAGGAGTAACACAAAAAAATACTGTATTACCAGCTCGTAATTTTATATCATGATTAATTTTTCGATTATTGCTCGAATGCATAATAATATCTTCAAAAGCTAAAAATGTTCTCCAACGACATGCATATGTAAAACTAGTTGATACAATAGAACGCCATAGACGAGTTCTTCCTAAAACTATATTAATTTGTTCATTATCATTATTAATATCTAATCTACAATTATCTGAATAATCTGGTTGATAAACAAAACAAGGATTATGACTCATAAAAAATTCAATTGTATCAGATAACATATCTGTTTCAATTATATAATCATTTTCAAGGAAAAATAAAATCGTATCTAATTGAATATCTTCATTATATTTCGTATAATTTATCATTAAATTGAAAGGTATTTGGTTACTATCTTGTATACGAATAATATGTGTTATTATTGTATATGGTTCATAGATACTTTTAAACCATAGTTCTAAACGTTTGTACATAACATTTGTATAGTTTTCACTAAGAAAAATAACTATACGTGTTCGCATTTGTTGTTGAATAGATAATTTTTGTAAATTTTTTGAAATTAAATATGATGAAGTCATTTGTAAATAGAATTTATTATCTTCGTTACTTAATGATGGATAATGTATTAATAGATAAACATCTTGTAAAGTCGTTATTAGATTAGGAAAGAAATATTGACCATTACTAATATTATGTTGTAATATTCCTAATAATTGACTTCTTTCTAAGATTGTTCTACATTGATTATAGACATCTTCTTTCACATGATCAGATATAGATTCGAATCGATTTCGAAAAATTACAGATATTGTAGGTTTTGTAATAAAGATTGAAGTAAAATTAATAGACAAATTCGATAGATGCTGTTGTTGATAGGATATGACCATATAAATAACGCAGATGAAAAAAAATATCAGGATAATAATATTTTTCAATCGAATACGCTTAAAAAAGAATGAAACATGTATAATCATTAAAAATAAACTTAATCCGTAGTTCTTTATGAGAATATTAAATACCTGTATCCTTCTACTAATCAGCAAGTGTTTTGTGATTTTTTTTCTCATGTATGTCCTTTTGATTGTTTTTAAATTCATAATACATAAATGCAATATTCTTTCTATACTATTCCAAATAATACCAAACAAAAAAAGAATGAAAAGAAAGGTTTGATAGTATTTTTTACTTTCTCTTAACTATCATGATCAAATAAAGAACGTTATTATTGATTTGGTTTCTCTCGACAGAAAAAATAATTAAAATAAAAAATTTGCATTTTTTTGTCTTTTTTCGTTACTTTTGAAGATATAAAATAGAAATTACAATTATTATTCGTATGTGCTATATTCATTACGTATTAAGATTAATATTTGTTTCATACTTCAATGAGAAGATAACTGATAATGCTATCCAGATAATTCCATTTATGATAATCATCGATAAATTTACGTGATGATTATTTTTTTTGAAAAAAGTAAAATTAGAGAACCAAATAGAATACTACTGTAATATCATTATTGTATCTAAGATATGAGTGAGACTATAAAAAAATAAATATAAGATTCGTTGATTTTCAAGTTGCCACCCATAATGCATAATCATTCATTGGGACAATTAGAAAATCACTTATTTAATTTAGATTTTTGAATTATATAAATAAAACAAGTTTTCAATTCAAAAGTTACTGACTTTTTTTTGCTCTTTAGCATCAGAAACTATGACGTCTATTACGACGAAAACTATTATACACGTCAATGTATCTATAAACAATATTGTATTAATCAATGTGCATTCATGCATACGACGGCATACCGTTGTTGTATATATGTATAGAAACTGGCTTTGTTCGTCAAACGCGCATTTATACAAATACCGTCGGGTTAATACGTGCGGATATATAACAGCTAAAGGTTAATCAGTTATTTTTGATTAATATAAGTAAGTTCTTTCTGGATTTTTCATGTATGTGGCCAATGCTTTTATTTCACTTGTAATATATCTATTTGAGAATCTATAAGTGCGACTCTTTTTAAACTTTTAAGCATCGTGCATAATTCTATTTTCTTTTATGATCTTTCTTTTCTGTTAAATATTATTATAGTCTGAAAGAAATTTAAAGAATAGATTTTATACAGAATATTTCGGATATTATTTTTTAAAAATAAAAAACATTTTCTTAACAATAGAATAATAGTTTCGATTTTTATTCGTAAGAAAATAAATATAATTGATTCTACATTATGTGGGTGTTATTATATTTGCAATGGAATACTATGACATTTAATTTTATTAATTTTAGTATTCCATAGTGTTTATTTAAATACTTTCGAAAAAAAATGGCATCTTTGGATTTAGTTGAACAATCATTGAATACAAGTTGCGAACATGATGATAAATATGAACATAACCAAAAAATAACATCACAAAAACAAATAAATATTAATGATAATACTGCAGTATTATCAAATATAATTCCGAAACAAATGGATTCATCGATCGTAAATCTAAAAGAAACTAACCGTGTTCAAAATCACGTTGGGAATGAAACGAATTTAGAAAAAGAATATGAAGGAGGAGAAGAAGAAGTAATAGTTGTTCTCGATCCAAATAAACCACGAAAAGTCACTGAAAAAATAAGACTTTCCAATAATATTATTCGTTTGGTACGTGGTCCATTTGAACTTATGATTCGTGGCTTAATGTATGCTACTGATAAATGCGCAGAAGTAGTCGGTAGAAGTGAGACTTCTATGCGAGCTGTGCAACGAGGATTAGACACGCAGAAACAAAATGCAATCGAACATCAAACTACCTACACACCATTCAAACCTCCGTATACAGAATTGACATCAGATTGGAAATTTGAGAGCGAGAATGCTGATCAAGGTTTAAGTAGTATAACAGTATGGATACGAGATCCTCAAGGTCGACGAATTTTACTCAAAACAGAAGATAATCCATTATCTGCTGCTAATGAATGGTTATGTTATGTTTTAGGTCGTGTAATTGGTTTGCCTGTGAATGAAGTGCAAATTGCAATGTATAAAGATGTTTTAGTAACGTTGCATACAGATGTTGCTCGTGAAGATGAAAAAATAATTACATTCATGGATTTACCAAGACAAAAAAGAAAAATACTTTTGGGTGAACCAATAATTGCGTGCATGGATTTGTTTGATCGTATAATACAGGATGCAGATCGTAATCAACGAAATATTTTACTTACAATGCCGAAAACAACGAATATTAATGATGATAACGCAAAATTACGAGTACATTTTGTCGATCATGGAGCTTGTTTTGGCATGGCTAAACTTAATGGTATTAGTGTTATAGGCACTAAGTATCACAATAATCATCTTGCAGTAGTTACATATGACCCGAAAGAGAAATCAAAACAATTCGAAAAATATCTCAAGAAACTGCCAAAAGCAGATCGTCCTTTAATTGGTAAAACCTTATATCGTTTTGCATCGATCAATAATAATCAGTTTGATAGTTGGATTACTGGCATAGAGGATCTACTAACATCTAGTCAATACAATCGTATACTTAGTGTCTTATATCAACAACGAGATATTGCAAGACGCTATGTAGCCAAATGGAATATTTATCCAGAAGTACCTAGTGTAAAAATAAATGAAACGACGACATCTGAATTTGAAACACGTAATCCAACTGTTTACTTATAAAAATGACAAAAAAAATACGCGGCGTTTGGTGATGTATATAATTAATTGTAAAAACAATTTAAAATCTTTGACTTCATTTATTCTCTAACCTCTACTTGTCGCTAACAATTTTTGAACATATATAATGTTATTGAAATGATTATAAATTTAATTTTTATATCTTTAATAAAAATATTAAATATTTTAAACCAGTATTTTAATGCAACTTAATGACACAGATTATGTCATTAGTTCTCATGCACAGAATTTAAATATAAAATACTTCTTTTTATGTTTCATTCAATTTCAGTTTCATAAGAAAAAATGAAAAGAAAATAGACAAACGCAAAGCTAGAATTATTTATTCAAATAAATATGAAAAGTAGACATGTTCATTTAAAATCATTTATTTTGTTTAAATACAAATAATTGAATCTATTGCTTCAAATATTTCATTAATTATGACAATAATGCTATTTAAGAAATGAAGACTTTGATTCTTATTCATTTTGCTACTACCATCATGGTAAATTGCTCATGTATAATATGATATAGACGTTATCTTTCTCTGTCGTCTTCATCTCATGCATGAAAAACATTTCAGAGCATCTATAATCAAATGCTTGTTTTCACTGAACAAATTAAGAATAAAACTCATTAGTAGCTGAATGTATTTCATCTTCATTATTTTATGATAAGAAAACTAAAAATCTTTTTTTTTAGTATTATCACTGATAATTGGATAATGATATTATAAAAATATGAAATTAGAATTATAATAGTCAAATACAATAATCAATTTATTTTTGTTAAATAATTACAACACAAATACAATAAGTTCTACGGAGTCGTAGTTTACTGTTTATTCATTCGAGTGACCACTGGTACTCGTGAAGCCCATTGTTCAGGATGAATAGCATTTGTTTGTTGTCTCCAGCGACATCGAAAAATATTTTTTATTCGAGTACCAAGTTGTGGTATTGTACTCAAACATGTAAATGGAAAAAGAAATACAATATAGTAAGCGAATAATTGACTATATAAAGCGTATTGAGCTCCAACATAAGATGGAAGGCCAAGTTTCTGAGCAGTAGCCAAAATTATAGGAGGTAAATATAAAACAAAGAAAAGTGATGTGACAGATAATAGTTGAAGTATCATTTTACGATGTTTTCGCCATTGAATTTGTTGTTGTAAACGTCGCTTTTGAAGAATTACACGTAAAACAAGAAGAGTACTACCAAATCCAATAAGAACAGAACATAATACTCCACTAGTTATATATTCATATAGACTAAATGCAACACTATCATAAACACAACTATAATAAGCACAAAAAGGTATAAAATAATAGAATGGTCTATTACAATCATTCATAGGAGTAATAGTTCCATAAACTACTACACCATATAGAACAATAAATGTTAATGGGAGATAATGAATGAAAAATCGTTTTTTCTTTGTTGAAACCCATTGATCATGAAATATAAGAATATGTCTTTCGACTGATGCCCATCCAACAAGTTTTGCTATTGTAGTATATAAAGTTGAATCTAAAAACTTCCAAATCATGCAAAATGTTGGTGTTTGTATCCAAACAACTTCATATAGGGCAACGTACATTGTCCAAGGAACATCTGTTAATTCCCAAATAAGACAAATAATAAGAATAATAATCATAACATGATTATGTAAACCACGACGAAGATTTGAATCAAAAAGAAAATGATAGAGAACGAAAAGACAACAAATAAATGATAAAATATTTGAAATGAGAAAAATCCAAAAGCGAGCAATGTAAGGTATAGCAATACCATCATCGAATACGAATTTAATGGTATTACTTGAACTAATGTTTGATATCGACATTCTCGAAACTATAAAATGTAAGAATGAATGATGCACTGAAAGATCCTTTTGAATAAATATGAAAGGAAGATAAAAAATACTAATAGCAAAATTAAAAAAAAGTGTTGCAAACGAGCGTAAAATATATATTAAAGATGAGACTTATACCTCGAGTAATATGTTCATATACCGTAATTACTTGTTTTTTTTATTTATACCTGTAAAAATTTATCATTACTATCTTATAAAACTCATTAACAGAAAGAAAATCGTTCTAAAATTTCATTAAATTCTGTTAATTAATAATATATAAGATTACTAAATTAATATATTTTATAATATGAGTAACTATTTACTATATAAATTCATTTTAACTATTATCGAAATTTTGAAATATTTCAAAAGAATAAAAAATAAATCTTTTTTTTCTTTATATATTTATATTTTATATTGATCGTTGATAGATTATAATAATTATTAAATTGATATCACAAATATATAAATAAAATAATCCAATATCGATCACAATTTATAATGCATATCTTCGAATTTAAACGTTACGAACAACTTATTCATAGCTGACTAATCAAATAGGTTTATCTACGCATTTCATAAAAGTACATCATTAAAAGAATGTTGCCTGTCTATTTCTTTATTCTAGTCGATTTAAAATGCTTTTAGTTTATTTATTTTTGTTTTAATGCGCTATTTCACATAATATTTTTATTATAAAAATTCAATGATTTTCACAGATAAGTAATAAATGGAATATTACTATTTTTAATATAGACATCATTCTTTCATGACAAACTTTTGTCCTCGTCTAGGACTTACTTCTTATACCGGCAAATCATTTCTACAAACTTTATGATCTATTTCTTATCAAATCTAAATTTATATTGAAAAAAACTTTTAAACTTTTCTTTTTAATCTTAGTAACTAAAATATTTATGATAATTCTTAAAGATCTGAATAAATATCTTTACAAAACAATAGAGATATTAAATATGATTTAGACCTGTTCATACTCATGACGAAGATACATTTTGATAAATATTTTTTTTTCTAATTGTTCATATTGGCAATAACTTATATAAATAAATATTATTCATGTAACAGTCAATTATTTTATGAATAACTGAATAACTTGCTTTCTTTTCTTGTTAGTTCTTCATTGTATTTGTAATGAACATCTAGATAGAAGGATAGAATTAATAAAAATTCCTAAATTTATCGTTTGTAGCAGGATTTACAATAAGAATAAAAGAATTTGTCACTCCCATCAAACTGATGATGTTAGTTGTGACATCGACACGTTCGAACTCAATTCAATTATTGTCTATACTATTGTTAACCTCTTGAAGACGGACGACATATGTATACGTCTAGCTACGAATCAATTCGTAAACTATGTCCGATTTATTTTTCATTTATCTTCGCATACTGTCTCTTTTCCATTATGGATTAGAGTGAGGGTGTCTCTTCTTTATTTTCATCCGCTCACGACTACCATGCGATAATTTCATTTTCAAACAAGAGAAGACCACGTCATACACACATCGAGAATAGTTAATATGGTGTGACGAAAATATCGCCCGATTCATTAGCAATAACAGACAATCACCAAATAGCCTTGAACTTAATGTTCTTGATTATTATGTTTGGGATGCTATAATCAATAATATGTAATAGCATAAGATTAAAAACGATGATTCATTAATTAATGAAATTAAAAAAAGGAATTTATCATAATCCGTTGAATGAGCTTTCTCGCAGCTTCGAAATCTGATCGTATAGAATCTTGTGCATTCTAAAAACAAAAGGTGTTTATATAAAATAAACATTTCTTTTATAGATTGTGTAGCTTTTCACACACACTGCATCTTTTAATATACCGAGTTCTTTTTTAGTAAAGCAAATAAAATGATAAAAGATTGAGACGGAAAGTGCGCAGTCATCCATGATGCCTTACCCATTATAATTTTGTAGAAAATTTTGCTCTTTAATAGCGGATATATGATATAAAATATCAAAAACTATTTTTTTATATTTATTATCATAGTTTTTCGATATCGATGAAATTAAGTAGATCCAAATTTACATCAAACATTCTAATGTATATATACTTCTATTAGTAAAAACTCAAATTACTATATCGTGATTTTAATGAATCTGAGTACGTTCTATGTGCTTTATTTTCTACTTTAAAAACAAAGTTATTTTGTTGATTTTTGCATGCTAATTACTACTAAATGTTAGTATTCATATTATTTAATAAGAAAAAGAATAAAATATGCATTAAAATGTATGAAAAACAGAGAAAAATATCACTAGAGGGCGTTCATAAGCAGAAAAGAAAAAATCAGTACTTTTCTATTCGATAGAATATATCGTTATGATAGGAAAGAGAAAAACATGCTTACAAATAAACGTATATTTTTGGTTGTCAAAACACAAAAACATCGAGTAATATGAAGCTTGAATATTTACCTAATGAAATAATACTTGAAATATTCGACTATCTTAATGCTATTCATCTAATTCATGCTTTCCATAATGTAAATTTACGATTAAATAAACTACTCGATATATCTTTTCAATCGTATTGTTTGGATTTTCGATCTATATCAAAATATGATTTTAATATTATCTGTCAACAACATCTTCCATCAATCATCGATAAAGTTAGTTCACTTCATTTAGCTGATGATGATGAAACACCAAATCTTCCGAAAATTTTGCTTTCGAATATTTTTACTCTTAGTCGATTTACTCATTTGAAAGCACTATCACTTTATTCAATACAATCTCTTGATTTATTAAATGAAATCATATTACAATGTCATTATATAACACATCTTAAATTAATTCAATGTTTTTATGAAAATAAAGAATGTCAATTGATTAATAATATTTGGAGTCTACCAAAACTAATAGATTGTCATATAGATGGTATTATGTTAAAAGGAATATGCTTCTCGGAACTATCAATTAAATCATTATCCATAAAATATCTTTCTATAAAAAATATTATTTGTAATATTCCTTATTTATCTTCAGTCTTTCAACAAACACCTTGTCTTCAACGACTATGTACTACAATTGCATGTACTGAAAAAATTGAAAAACTTCCAGATTCGATTCCATTATTAACGAAATTAACTCTTTCATATCATGGTTCAATATTATCAATGAGAAATATTTTTCAACAAATGTGTAATTTACATACATTAACAATTAATACATCATATTTATTATCAGATGGAAGTGAATGGGAAAATATTCTTGTTGATTATTTACCAAAATTGAAATATTTTCGATTAAAAATGTCTTTTCAATTACCTGAAAGTAATAATCTCGATATTACAGTCGATGAATTATTAAATACATTTCGAACAGATTTTTGGATAAAGAAACATCAATGGTTTGTTCGATGTGATTGGAATACATCCGATCCATTTAATAATGCTATATTGTATACTTTACCATATTTATTTGATGATTTTCATTTTATAAATGAATCATGTTCAAAATCAACATATTCCGATGAAAAACAGTATTGTTCATATGATCATGTAAAAAGTCTTCAGTATGAAAATAGTATATCAAATCATTCGGTTTCTATTCCGATTGTATTTTTAAATATTACACATCTTGATATAATGCTTCCATTTAATGAAAAATTATTACGCAATATTCCATCATTAAATCATTTAAAATCACTTGATGTTACTTTATTAACTGGAGAGTCTACTTATCATCAATTACAATTATTACTGAATCGAGCACCTCATCTACATATATTAAGATTTTCTCATTTATCGGATTTAGAAATGATCCTATTTAAAATAACAAATACATCAGTTCGTCGATTAGATTTTTTTACGAAAGAATCGATGTTGTATAGTTGGTATTTCAATGAAGATCAGTGTAATGTATTAGCTAATTCATCATTAGGACAACAATGTCAGACACTTATTATTGATATTATACGTCGAACAAATGTATTATATTTAATTAATAATATGAGTAATCTTCGATCATTAACTTTTCAATGTAAAGATGATAAAGGACCACAAAAAATATTACCATCAATAGATGATGAATTGATTCAATGGTTTGATCAACATCTACCAAGAACATGTTCAATTTCAAGAAATAAAACTCAAAGTTCTATTATTCACGTGTGGATTCGTTGAATTTATTATAGTCTACTATGTATATAAGAGATAAATGAAAATATATTTTTGAGTAATATTTGTGAATAAATTGTCAGCCTTCTTTTGTAATATATATATATTTGATTGAACTTACTGTGATTTAATCTAATGAATATAAAATAATCTAGTTCATCAGTTATTAAAACACATGCGTTAAACAAGTATTTACCAGATAAATAATTCAGTTTGCTCCTATCTGTGTACCCCGAATTGTTTTAAACGAATCAAGAAAGATTGATCTATATCAGAAATATAAAAACGATTATAATACCAATTATGAAAGTAGATCTGAACCAGTGCTAAGCATTAAATAGAGAATAGTTTAAACTATAAAATCATTGTTTCCTTTATGGTGTATTCGATCACTTTATAATCAATGAGTCTTTGATTAATAAAATATAAATATTTATTAGTAAAAAAATTAAAATTTCATTATTGCCTTATTGATGTAATGCGACTTGAATGATCGCTGAAGTAGAATATGTTGCTGATGTTACCATCTGATAAAGAATATACTACTAAAAATCAGATATTTGGGTATTAATCAGTAATTTCAGTAGATCGAATGTGTATACATACATCGATCGAAACCCAGTGAAGGATCAAATTATATCGATCTATAGTTCGGACTATATAATGTATATTTGAATAAATATCTGATCACCTTTGATCTACTACAATAAATGAAAGCGTATACAATATAACAATCTGTTACCTACCCTTAAAAGATATGATCTCGATGTCTTTTTTCGCGTAATTCTGACTTCTTTTTTTCCAAGTGTTTCATTCTCTTTTTGGAAATACATTTTAAAAATTCACTATCTATGTTTATTCAAAAGTTATGAAGAATATTTTGAATATACGAAAAACTGTTCAAATTGATTATTTTATAAAGTGAATACTTATTTACAAAATATGATTATATAATATACATTGAATGCTAGTTACATTTTATTTATATACTTAATAGTTCTATAGAAGTCTAAATATTGATTATTTCAATGTTTTAAGTAGTGGGATGAATTACTACTTGTTGTCGATGATAACAAAACAATGCTTTAATTTTCATTTCAACTTCTGGCAACACACCACAAGCAACAAATGGTAAACAAAAAGTTATATAATACGAAAAAAATTCTGCATATAAACTAAATTCTACTCCAATTTTTCTTGATAAACCTAAATTATAAGCTAAATATATAAGTGTATATGGTGTATTGAATATAAAATAAATAATTGAATAATCATCTTTCTTTGTTTTCTTCAATTAATTGTTCGATGTAATCGATGTTTTTGTAACAGAAGACTAATGCTAAAAATAATAATAATAAAAGTTGGAATAATTTGATTGAATATTAACAAGTAGATGTCTTTCAATTGTTGCCCACTTTAAAAAGTGGTGTTTGTAATGTATAAGATGCATAATCTATAAATGTCCATATTAAAGCAAAACTAGGTGTTTGTACTAATATATATTGAAAATAATAATAATGACATATCCATAAAATATCTGTTAATTCAGATATAAAACCAACAATTATAAGATTTGTAATAACATGATTTTTAATTGCTTGACGAATCGTTCAATTGAATAGAAAATGATAAAGAACAAATATTTGGAATAAAATAAAGCCTAAATCGAGCACGATTAGAAAATATAAAATCTGAATAACTAGACGTTGATGTATTACTTGTATTTGATATATTTTAAAGATTAAGTGATATAATATTCTAAGTCTACACTCTTTTTCAAAGTGTCTTATTTTGTAAATAGAAAATAGTTTTAACATTCAACTTTGATTATTTTGATAAATAAAAGGATGATTTTTATAGAATAATTTCAATGTTGGTTTCAGTCATGTTTCAATAACCTTTTTGTTTTGTAATCGCATCGTATATATTACGCTTCATCATATAGACGATTATTAATAGATAAAGAGATGTTTTTACACATTTATAGAGTTATTTTTGGATCTTCGGAATATTCAAATGTTCTTGCAATTTAAAAAAGCTATGAATTATACGATGTCTTTTACAATTATATATCAAAAATATTTTTGTATACGCTGCTAATTAGATGTGAATGTTATTTCATTCAGAAAATAGTTATATCAAAAGATCTGTGTACATGGCCATCAAAATGTATCACACGTCACTCTACTTCTTATTTAATATTTCACACCTTTTTATTTACATTTTATAATATTTTTTGTAGCAATTTAATTCAACCAGGTGCCTATGTTCATATATAAAAGAATAAATTTATCTTCTCTCTTATAACATATCTGATTATAAAATTATAATGCATCATAATCTTATGATTGTTTATTTTCTTATTCTAGGCTGAAATTAAGTTTAAATTTAACAAGTGCTTTTCTTTGAGAACAAGTCTGACAAGGATATAATCTTTAAAGCTAAGATCTACCGCAATTCTTAGATTATTGTGTAAATTTATACCATCTAACACATTTTTGTGCTTATTAAATTTTAAAGCTAAAACAGCATACGAACACAGAAACGACTGCAATTTTATGAATTCATTTTTGGTCTTATAATTTCATTCGTGCGTCGCTGATTTAATTTGGTCAGTATATTCTGTTAAAAATATGTCAAACTGTGGGCGTGAAGCTATGAGACTATGAGCTTATTTATAATCAACTAATAGCAAACAGTTTCTATAATATTGAAGAAGAACATCACAGTAATAAGTTTTTCTATTTGTAACATATTTGTCAATTAAAACGAAAATCTACTGTTAAAATATGTTTATTTGATCAAAAAAATCCTGAAATTTAGATGTTTTTTTCCCGAACCACTATCTTGCGGGTGTGAATGGATGAGAGTATAGGCTTCATTATTATATTCATTACACATTCGCATCCATTCATCCATACTAAAAGCTCCCAAATGAAATCATATCTAAAAGTCACCTTTATTCCAGAAAAACTTATGAAAAATCGAAAAAAAATTGGTATTGGAAAATATCGAAAACTCTACTCGTTTTGAAGTTATTTGAGTTGAAACTTTTAGGTAATACTAATTTCACTACTACTTATAACATATAAAAAAATTAGCAAAATCTAAGATGTTGAACTATCACCGATATCGAGTCTTCTCAGAAATTTACTCTTTAAATACTTCGTATCATCCTTGAAATATCTGAATAGCAATACCACATATTCGTTATATAATTCCCAGCATAATTATTCTAGAAACTGTAAATAGCAATGATGAAGTTGATAATGTATAGGACGTACTTAATGAAAAGATTTACTACAAGACCTTTTCATAAACCTTCACAATTAGATGTATATGTATGACTTGAATTTCTATCTTTAATATAAAAAAGAAGTATAAACACTTTCAAAGACAATATCATATTAATTATCATAGAATATTCTTCAATAAATGAAACAAAAACATTTATGTACTTACATATTGTCGATATTGTATATTCGTTCAAAATAAAAGATATTTTTTTAAAAATATATTTCACACAACTATGAATTATTTTTAAAATAGCTTCTATCTTTCAATCTTTATTCGTAGTATATTACATCATATATGTTTCTAATCTAGATGTCTATAACATAACAATTATATATGAAACTTCATTTATCTTTTAAAAAATAAAAGAAGACACAAAATAATTAATTCCCGTTCAGATTTATCACATTATTCGAATTATTTCATTAATTGTATCAAATTAGTTCTTTTTATTCTTATTTATATATACAAATACTAAAACACACAGATATAAGGTCTATACTAGAATAATAATTTTATTAGTTTGAGAATTAGAAAAAAATAAAAATTAGAAATGTTTTTTGTATGTGGATGATCAATGCCATTATAGATGTACATTTTAGCTCGATATAATTCTAAACATAAAAAATATCAAATATTAATCTTCTTATAGATCGGATTAGATAAAGTTATAATTCATGAAAAAGGAATTACTTACTTTGGTTCGTTCCTGAAAATCATTAATACGACTATATCAATCACTTTCGAAAAAAATTAAATTGAAGAATGATGATTAATTGAGTACATAGATAATAAACAATTTTAACAAGATATCAGTTCGACTATTACGAATAAACAACTGAAGATTTCATAATATTTCTAACAAGAAAAATGATTTGAAAAGTGATAGTTTACAAAAATAAAAGTTTCATTCAGATATTCTAATAGATTTAATAGAAGAACTTGAAATTTACTCAGATTAAATATACATACAAATAATAAACTGTACTAAGTAGTAAAATTTTATTCAAAAATCTTTTACTAATCTTAATTATTAACTAAAGTATTGATTTTGTAATACGTATGAAATGAAATATGAAATGATTCAACCAATGTTCTATTCAAAAATGATAGTTAATTATAAATAGGGATTAATTTTATCTTTTATAGTAGATATCAAGTGAAGTATTTGAATAGATATAAGAAAGGATTTGTTCAAAATCGAACGTTCGATTTTTAAAGATGGATTAATAGTAATCTTTTAAAGGGTTATTTCATGAAATATGAATTGATTTGAACAAAGTTCTGTTCAAATATTTTAATTACATTTAAACAATAATTAAAAGTATTTTTTTCTAGAAAATATTAAGTGAAGTTGGAACAAACCTAAACAATGTTTCATTTCGATATTTTAATCATTTCATAGAATTATAAACGGAAAAGTAATCCGCCCGAGTATGATCGAGAAAGCGAGCGGTTCCTACCAGAGATTTGTAAAACTATGTTGTATACTTCAAATTGTCTTCATTTGTATTTTATTCTCACTTGACTATCATACACTATGTGAATTACACAAATAAGAGTAATATTCAAAATTTTTGATGATTCCTGTCTAAAGGATTAATCTAGCTCATCGTCAAATGTTATGAGGAATATGAATTTTCCTAAGAATACATCTATTCAATTATATTAATAGTATCAACAGTAGTATATCTTCATCTCGAATGTCTTCTGTATGAAATGAAAAATATATTGTTCTAATAATACTTTTCTTCGAATATTATTATCCATAAGTAACAAAAATTCGATTACAATTTTCGTTAATTATTCTATGATAAGTGAATCATTATTATCAACACTATAATCATTTATTGTGATTAATCTACGAAACTAAATTGAACATATCATCTGTTTTATATTTCAAGTGATATCAGAATATCATTACTATTCATTAATTTAATTCACATATATTATTCGATTGCCAGAAAATATTCTTCGTTAATTTTAATTGTACATTAACGGAATATTGAATCATTCAAATCGAGGTGCTATTCAAATATTTTTCTTTTCTAACAAATAAAATATAAAGACTTGTATAATTAAAAGACTTAACGACAATCGAATTTTCATACAAATAATCAGTTCCATTATATTCATTTTGTTCATAATATTATAGACTATTATTTAATGACAAGTATTACACTATATACGAATTATTTGAACTATGGTCTTATTCACTTATGTTCAACATTTCATAAAAAGAAACGTCATAGTAAATATACTGTATCACATTATGAAGAAAGAAAACTTCTTTAACAAACTGTACATTCAACAATTTCGATTGATTTAATTTCGCGAGAGAACAATACACTTCATTTGTATATCATATGGTAAATTATATTTCTCAATCGATGTTCTATTCTGATATATTCGATCTGTTTCATCAAAAAATTAAGATCAGCCTATTCTGAAAGACATATCGTATACAAATTGTCTTATTATCAAAAGTTTATTCAAATATTCAGTACGAAAGTCAAACTATCATTGCGAAAGATTATTTTGATATTGACTTCTATATATATGAACTGGCAATTTATTCTTAATACAAAAGTTGTGTTTAACTATTGTCAGTGTTCTAAAAATATCGAATGTAAAACTAATCTGAATTAATATTCATATGTGAAATGAATAACTATAACGAAAATTCTATTCATGTATAGTGTAGAACAGTAAAATAGAGTCTATGTGTCTTACGTTTCACAGATTTATGTGATAAATGAATCACCTACACAAAAGTTCTATTCGAATATTTTTCATTTTTTTTATACATAAAATTGATGTATTATTTTAATTCTATATCATTCGATTTATGAATTTACTATATAGTCGCCATCCTTTATGTGTTTATATTCATTGCCACAGCTACCATGAGTAATATTTTGTTCAGATACATCCCTTTTGTCTTAGAAAAAGCTTGTAAATTTCATTACTACTGAATATGATATTGAAAATAACTAGTCTCAATCACGTTTAGACGATGACTTTACTGAACTTTGATCACCCGAGTGTCCTTCTTGATTGAAACTGTTTTGACTAGCAGTGTCAGCGGCAGCATTAACTGTTAAATAATTGTTATTTATAACGAGTATTCCAATAAAAAGATAAATAAAACATAGTCGATAATGAAGCATTTTATGAGTATAAATTTATTTGTTACACCAATGAGTCTGTAATATAAATCGTTATTAAGATTATAACTGGCTTTTTCTCTTGTATTTATACACAATAGTGACGCATAAAAAAAAAGCAACGATTTTTGAGTAAAAATTATATAGGTAAATAACAACGGAGATAATAGCCATATATTGACGTCAATCATTACTCACAATCAAAAGATATTACTGCGTATATATGCAACAAAAAAAATAGGTATTACCTTGTTGTGCGCTCGATAGATACAATATACCACGTGTGTCTTCAATATGTGCATATATTTATTGATGTGAATCATGATGATAACGCATTTTTTTTTGCTTCGAACAATGATACTTATATTTATTTATATCATGTCTACATCGAAATGTAAAAATGAATTTTGTTTATCTAGATAAACTAGGGAGCGTTGCAAACATTTTTAAATAGAACAAGAAACCAATATTTCTGTTATTCTAAAGGTTAGAATCGTTTTTATTTGAAAAAAATCTTTATTACCTATCTTCACTAAAAAAAACTATGAGTTGAATGAGTTTGTCTATATATTTTATACGAAAATATATTAGAAATTTATTCAGCGATATTTTTACAGATTACTGTTAATCAATAAAGTGTATAAATGTTAACAATATTATATTATAATCCCAAAGAGTAATAATATTAATATACCATCAAATGGGAATTAATTATATTCGCTGCAAAGTACTATACTAATAATCAAGGATTATTTAGAATCAAATCTCGCCATATGACAATAATTATAGAAGAAATATTGTATGATTTCGAAATTAAAATCTATTTTAATTGCATCAGAAGTTAAATAAATAAATTTAAAAGAAGTTCATATATATCCCATGTAAAAAACTATTGACGTAAAAATCGATTTAAATCATACACCTTTAATCGATTTTTGACATTTTTAACCGGTTCTAATCGGATATAACCGAGAAGAACCCAACTTTTCTTGATTATTAAGAAAAACTTCAGTTAAAATCGATTAAGAATTCACAAAAATCGATTAAAGGTGTATGATTTAAATCGATTTTTAATCAAATTTTAACCAAGTATAATCTGATTTTTTTTTAAATATTTTTCCATGGGTAATACATATAATATATGTATACTAATGATGTTTTTTTTGCTCTCTGATATTTAAGAATTTTCTAGAGAGGCCAAGGAAAACTTTTCAATAAAAAAAAACAAATCATTTAATTTTAAGAATAATTGATGTCGTTCTTTAGTGGAAGTTTCGTTAGTAATATACGCTTCCTTTATTTTCTTTTTTGTAAAAGTACAATAAAATCCTTATTTACAAATATTTCTCTATAATATCTACCTTCTTGTTTAAAATTTCAAGAGTAACATGTGTTCTACCAATTTTCTAGTGGGTGAGATATAAGAGATGCGATGTATATTGTGTTATAGTAGAAAATTATCAGATACTTATATTGAAAAGTTTGACCTTGACTAATTTTATTCTTTATTAATATTATCAAGAGACAAAAATAAAACTTTTTTTTTGTGTTGATATAAGCAGAGTATTCTATTAGTTCTCAAGTATAAATTAATATAGTATAGAGGTTTAACTTATAGAAAATAAATTTAGTTGATTATAAACATTGAAATTACAGTTTTTATGCGTGCTTAATAATAATATATGTATTCTTCTTTTTCTTTTTTATTCTATTTGAGAAAAGTGAATAGTACCTACAAATTTGTAAAAATACTTTTACTCCTATTTGCGTTTATAAAGTACTAATGTACTTGTAGTTCTTTTTTTTCCTTGTATATTTAAAAAAGAAAAAGCGAATAAACTTCTCATATTATCATCATATACATCTTACTTATAATTTCGTCGATGAAGACTTTCTTGGTTTTTTTTCATGGTGTAAATAAAATAAATAAAAAATTATCATTCCTCTTTGAAACATATCATTAGTCTTGATATCCAATATAGTGTATAGATGACGGTAAAGTGTTGTGGTTTTAAAGTCAAGTTAATCGAAAATCGCTCGGATGTAAAATACTTTTATAGATTACATACAAAAATGAAGTAACAATTGAATCTATAGTTTTGTCAATAATAAATCAAAATAGATAATATTTATTAAAGAAAAATATAAGTTTATAGATGTGAGAGTATTATTTCTTTTTTAAATATTACTCAACACAGACAATATCGTTCTTAAATAAAATAACTTGGTAATAGTCCTTTCCTTTTTTTCTAATATTAAATTTTATTCTATTATATTCTGGTTTATATATTTCAGTACATTAGAAAAGAAAAATGTTAGTAAGACATAGATATACTATAAAGTTTAATTTAATAATTAGATGGTTAGATCAATCGAAAAAAAAGCAAGAAAGATATATACATGCATGCATACAAGGAAAAATGAAAGCTACTAGTAGTAGCTGATGAATATGACGTTGGTGTGGAATTACATTGTGAACAATTTACTTCTACTAAAAATCTAGCTATAGACGCAGTAAACCAATCAGAATCTTGGAGAAATGCAAAATGACTTGTTCTTGGCAAAATTAGTTCTCCTGATTGAGGAATCCAACTACTCATTGTATCTGGTTGCTCTCGAAAGATGGCTTCTTCATGATCAGCATCAACAATCCAAACGGGTAGATTTGGATTAATTTTTGCAAAATCTTGTTGAGTCCAATTTGGAAGAGTAGCCCACATTGTTGTTAAATAATTGTATAAATTTGTATAATTCGGTGATGGATTTATTGCTTGATATTCAATCTGAGATCGATTGAGAAAAGTCGTGAAAACAATTGAATTAGAAATATCTTTGACTCCAGCAGGAATATAATTTGCAGCAAATGCAAACAATGAAAGTAATCTGTTTGGATAATTGATTGCGACATTGAGACCAATAATCGCTCCATCACTCCAACCAACCAAATGTGTTTGTTGAATGCCAAGATAATTTAGTAATCCGATAACATCAGATGCCATCAAGTCGTATGTAATACCTGCTGATGTTACTGTACTTCTACCTTGTCCTCGAGAATCCATAAGTATACATCGATAAGATGATTTCAATTGTGCAACTTGTAATCCCCAATAAGCACTCTGTCCAAAACCTCCATGAACAAAAAGAAGAGGAGGAGCACCAACTGGTCCATATGTCGTATACCATATAGATACATTATTAATCTGAACTGATGAACCTGTAACAGGAGTAGGCAGTTGTGGAGTTGGTGGTAATCGTAACCATGGATATATTGAATATAATACAGTAGAATTTTGTGCTATAATGCATGGAAAAATGTACAAGAGTACGAGAAATAATAAATGCATTGTCTTATCTGATAATGATAGTTTAGAATATTTCGTTTATTCTCTTAAGTACAAAAATAAATAAGCATATGATACTGCTATTCAGTCAAGCGATACAAAGGTGTTAGCTTAGCTACCGCGTGATCAATAAAGAAAACATTCATTATGATTTTATTGATATATTAAAAAAGAAAAGAAAACGTATCATATGTTTTGATTAATCATATGACAACAGTATATTTTTTTGTTTTTTTCGCAAATTATATATACAAGCACATGATCGTTGCGAACATATGATCGATAGGCTAATTTAAAAAAAGAAACTTTTAATAGAATATAAACAAAATCTTATTAAGATACGATCGCAGGTGTATTTCATCAAAAAAGATTAAAATTTAATGCTATAAAAGACATTCCGAAACATCAGATCGTAATCGGTTGGCTATCATCAGTTCAATTTTCTTTATTGTATAAAAAAAATTAATTTTATTAATCTGAAGAATACTTTGTATGTCATACGTTCTATACAATATCGATGAAAACGAAATGAACCATATACGTATTAACAATATAGATTCATGCAAGCCGAACAAAAAAAAATATTAAGAGCACGTTTTATTGTTTACAATGAGTCACTATAGATATGATTTCACCTGTAAGAAAAATGTATAAATCAATAGTATTCGCTTCTTGTTTTTAAAAAAAAGCGAAATAATATATGTGCTGTATATTAGATGGAACTTAACTTAATATTTAGTAGGATGAAATTTTATTAATAGTTAAATAAAAACCAACAAATACAACTTATAGTTTCATTATACTTATTGACTGATATGTTCATAAATTATTTGACTAAAAAATGAAAAGAAAAATATAATTAAACCGATAAAAAACCAAATATATGTTTTACATATGAATACAAGATACATATTATCATTTTTGATGGAATTAAATAAGCCATATAAAAAATTATAGAAAATAATAATAAAAATAGTTTTGATAAAACAGAAATATATATCAAAATTATGATAAAAAATATGAGTAAGAACAACAATTGAAAAATAAACGATTGCTTGTAAGAAATATTTGATTAATATTAAATTATTATTTAAACATCGATATAAAATATGTTTTAATCGATACCAATCATATCTTCGTTGTTCGGATAAATAAGTAGATGACTAAACAAAATTTCAAAAAAATAAATTATATTTATTTCAAAAAAAATTCGTACTTGTTCATCAATTCTCCAATGAATTGAAAGTGGTAATTGAGTATTCATTGAATGATAAACTTGACATGTATATAATCGAAAATATTGACCGAATGAATTTGGATTAGAACAAAAATGAAATTCTTTTCGATAGAATGAACAATCAGCACAAAATGATGCATTTGTTAAATTTCTAAATCCACTTATTAGACGAACCATAATTCCTATTGATTGAATACGAGATTTATATATTAAATTTTCTATACAAGGAAATAGAAAAAATAATTCTTCAATAATATAATCAGTAAAACGTATTTCAAGCACACGAATTTGTTTAAAACGATGATGTCGAATTCGTTCCATCATATCAATTGTTACATTATTTTCTATTGTTAATTTATACAATCGAGGCATAGTATATTTCAAACATGTAAAAGTTAATAAAGAATCTAATGATGGTATAATAAGATGTTCGACTCGACTAAGATCAATAATTGATGCAAGTGTTTGAATAGATATTGAATATTTGAGTATAAGTGTTTTAATATGAATACAACGATAATTATTATATTGAAGAAAATTTGTATTCACGGTAAATTTATTTAAATGATGATAGATGATAGAATAATTCGGTTCTGTTGAATGAAATTGTAAGATATTATCAGTATCCATATGAATAGGTGCAAAATGAGGTAATGAAAAAAGATATTCATTGTGAAAAGCAACATACCAATGTTTTTCTTCGAGCCAAAATGATGTTCGAAATGAATTAAGGATTTTTTGAACGTTAATTTTTTGTACATTAAATTTGAAATTGAATGTTATAAAAGAACTGACTAATTGTTGCCAAAAATAACCATTAACAACATTCTCCGAAACGTTTGCTTTTAATTCTAGATGATTTAAATGATTTAAACTAGATAATAACTGTTCTATTTGATCTTTTGAAATAAATTGATCTATAAATCATAAGAAATAATTTAATATAAATAAATTCATAAATATACATACTTTTAATTTCTAGATTAAGACGAATAAGTTGATTCGATGGTAGAATAAATGGAATATTTAGCATGTTCGTATCTAAATAAATATCAATTGATTTTAATTGTGATGAATTTTCAAAAATAATTTTTAAATCATCAAAGGACGATTTCGTAAGTTTCAATTGACGTAGATTTGGTAATTGTATCGATATTAAATCAGTTGAATTATTCAAATAGATACGATTTAATTGCGGTAATATTTGTTTATAACTATTAAATATTAAAGATTTTAATTGATTTGATTCATTTGAATAATTATTATTCCATGCTGGAAATCTATGTCTTATAGTTTCAATATTAAATGAAAAGGAACGTAATTGATGAAGTTTATATAACATAGAAAAAATAGATTTTAATGATTTAATATCAATTTCAATTAATGTAAGTGATCGTAATCGTGTAAATTGTTCAATTGGATAATAAGAAAGAAAAAGTTCAGATTGAACAAATGTATTATTATCATCTGAAAGTGTGAGTGCAATCACTTGTTCTGGTAAAATACGACGACAAATAAGATCAAAATCGGATTTTTTCATTAATTTCAAATTTATTACATATGCAGAATATCCGGATAAAACATTATTTATGTAATTACTAATATCAGAAAATATCAGAAGAATTTCTTGTGCTGAAAAATAACTAAATAAATAATGTAATAATTCAACAGGTAATAAATCAAACCAACATTTGTATAACATATTAATTAATTTTTTTTGTTTGCGTTATATATTGATATTGAATAAAGACAACAATCTTGCCTGTAACTACTAAACATGAGTTTGTTATCATCATCAAATAAGATTATATGTTAACTTGTGTTTTTTCTTTGTTATCATCTTGTTCACATTAAAATAAATATGCATTCTTGATACTATGACTCCATATTACCTTACATAGAAAAGAATTTATATTTACAACTTATATATGTAGCAAAATTTTTTTATTTGATTTCAATTTTAAGCAAAAAAACAAAATTTTTTATTCATTTAGTTTCGAAATATTTGGTCATATCGAGAAATTCTAACAATCAGTTATAAATTACTCTTAATTTTCCTTTTATAATCAATTGCTTAGTAATTTATGAATTTTTTATTTGACGACATTTTATAATAATATAATATAATACATTCATATTCAATCGCACTGTAAAAAATAATAACTGCTTATTTTTTCACAGATAGCATGGAAACATATGTTGGTAGTTAGTATGTTTTCTTTGAGAATTTTTTTCATTTTAAAATCTAACAAGTAGATTCTATCTTTCTTTTTTCTAATATAGATTAATATTAATATTATCTTCAAATGGGTGGATCATGTTCAAAATGTTGTAATACCTACAAGTGTTTCATTCAATCAAAACCGACACGATTTGTTGAAAGTTGTATTGTTATTTGATGATCCTTCAAGAAAATTTGAAAATGAAAAGGAACAATTGCGACGTCTTGTTTATGGTTTTCAAGTATTTACTAATTCTGATATATGTATTGATTATATAAGAGATATTCAAGATGAGAAAATCTTTTTTATTACATCAGTAACATATCAATCAATTAAAAACTTTTATCATTTACCATAACTTGAAAAACTCTATATATTCGATACATTATCTCATGATGATGTTAAACAAAATTTTCAATATAATATCTTCCGAGATATGAATAATCTTTGTAAACAATTAGAAGAAGATGTTGAATTATGTGAATTTGATTTAATATGTTTTTCAACATATTCCGATGATACAAAATCATCAATAATTTTAACGAAAGAACAAACAGGATTTGTTTTCATACAAATTTTTAATGAAATTATGTTACATATTATTGATGAGTTAATTATTATGTTAATATTTTTAACTTGATTATTTTTGTTAAATATTTTGAATGAAATAAAATTTATTATCACATTTTTCTTTTAGTACAATAGTGTAATAAATTGGCAGTTTCTTACGATGAAATATGCTTATTTATGTTTGAGTTAACTTCTATTTTTGTATAGAATAATAGGAAAATTATACATTATATGAAAAATAGTCTTAAATAGTTTTTAAATTTAATTAGTTTTAGTTACATAAATTTCAGCATATTCTATTAAAGATTAGTAGTTACATTAATTTGTGGTTATATTATTTTCTCTTTCTATTAATTATTGAGTTATCATTTAATATAAATATATGGATATAAATGTATAGAATAATGCTATCTCCTTCATCAGTTCATTAACATTTAGATTTAACTTTACGCCTTCTTAATATTTACAAATACGAATATTTATCTTTTATTTTTTTTCTTATTTTATAATAATAGAACCGAAAGACAAGGCGGTAATACTAAACGATTGCACATATATGATTTTATCTTTCGTTTTATTATTAGAAAATATGACAATAGAAAAAGATAAAAAGTTAAATTCAGATTGTTAACTTTGATGGATTGATGAAGGAGCTAGCAATCATCTCTGAAACGTTTTCATATGAAATAAATATTTTAACATAAAATATATAACAATTAATTTAATCCAACATATATTTATATTAATAGGAAGAGAAAATAATATAACCACGAATTATAAGGGTCTTTCTCAACATAATTAATTAACTACATTGATATATGAAATTGTAGAAAAAGATCTGGCTATAAATGATTTTCTAGAATTATTGGAATATAATATAACACAAGAACTATGCATCAATTAAGTTTGTTGATGTTTACGGAGTTAAGATATCTTTTGAAGCATTTCTCTTACAAAATACATAACATTAAGCAATATGAAACATGTTGTTCTCTTACTTTTTTGTGAAACATGATCTAAAAGGAGTGTTGAAGTGTTAAGAGGTAGGAATTTGCACCCACTACTCCGCCCTCTCCTCCACAGACATGATTGACACATGCTCTTTTGACCACGTCGCGGATGTGATTGAAAGAGTCTCATGAGCCTTCATATACGTGCCCAATGTAGCATCACAAATTATGTGGCAGATTGTGTGAGTGATTTCTTTTATATTAATCGATTTGTTTTATTAAATTTTCTAACATCTATGAAAATGTTAATCAAGTGAGTGCATTATATGTAAATGTTCACTTTTTAATATCGTGACGGATTCCATGCATCATTATCTCTCTCATATTCTCATATGTATATGTCTGCCGTGCATGTACATACGCATCGGTCATTTCTAATTTTTTCATCTTCCTGTTTACGTGTTCACTTTCTTTCATAACCGTTTCGCTTCATTGGCTATAGATAGTGGGTATTTATTCTTTCTTCTCTCTTCGTTTTCCTATCCGTTCGTCATTATTTCATACTCATTCTATTAAATAAAACACGAACGAGTAGTCGTTCCGTTACAGATATTTCTATACCTTTATGTCACAGGATGTGGTAAAAGCTGCTTCATAATAATACAATTAAACTATCTTCTTGAAAGTAGAAACAACAGTTAAATCGTGTTCCACATTTTAATCCCGTCAACGATTGCGCTAATAGCGTTTTTTTATATTATTTTAAATCAACTTTCAATTTCAACTATGGTTGTTCATTACAGTGAAGGAACATTAAAAAGGTTAGAGTGCAAATTATCCAATATATCAACTAAGTTCATAATCTTTTCTATTAGCATATCTACGGATTCTTCAATATCTAAAACTCGTTCCAAGAGACCTTTTATTGTACTAGGTTTTCTTTTAATAGCTTTCTTAGCTGCTATGTTAACTGTTTACAATCAAATAAATGGTATACTTTTAAAATAATATTTTAAGATAATCATTTTTTTTGTTTATAATTTAGCTAATAATAAAATCTGTGCCACTCCATATTGTGCTAAAGCAGGTAGATTCTCTTCGAAAATTATATAATTGTATTAATATCAGTTTATATATTTCTAGCAAAGTATTTAATTGAAAGCATTGATGAAACAGTTGACCCATGTGGAGATTTTTATCAGTTTGTTTGTGGAACATGGATTAAAAATAGTCGGACACCTAATGATTGTATGAAAAAATATTTAAGATAAATAAAAAAACTATTTTTAATTCTATTTCTAGCAACTATATTGGCTTTATTGCAAACAAAATTAGATGATAGTATAATTGGTATGTTTTTCAGTTTCTTTATGATTTTTCTTTTTAAATATTATTTCTATTAAGATATATTGACGTCATCATCAACTAATGATACAAACGAACTTAAAGCAATAATAAATGCCTCTAATTTTTATCATTCATGTATAAATGAACAACATATTGAAGATGAAGATATTAATCGAATACTTTCATTGATTAATAATGAATTTGGTGGTTGGCCTATTACACAAAGTTCATGGGATAATTCAACTTTTGATTTATTAAATCTTTTACTTAAACTACGAAAATATCAGAATAATATTATATTTGATATCGGTACATCAATTAATGATAAGAATTCGACAGAATATGCTCTTGGAGTAATTTATAAAAAATATAAAATATATTATATATTTATGAGAATGCTTTTAGATCGGCCAAGGTGGTCTTGGATTAGGTGAACGGGAATATTATATGAACGAATCAAAAATTACTGTGGCTTATCGACGATGTATGTTTGATTTAGCATCAATATTATCAAATGATACATCAACAATCGAACAAGATGTGAATGATATGTATGAATTTGAAAAAGAACTTGCAAAAGTAATTCATTTTATATTTTATTTATGTATAAAATCTTGAGTTCTAACTGTTCTAAAGATTATTCAATCTATTGTTGCGTATGTCATGAAGAAAATGATTGTCACTCATTTTCCCATACGATCTTTAAAGTACTTTAAATGTTCAAGCTGAAAAAGACTTTTGTCTTATAAAAATTTGATACAAAGAATCTAAAATTTTGATATTCATTATGAGTGCAAATAGTGATTAGAAGTTGCATAGATTCAGTAATAAGATATATTCTACTTTTCAACTAGCATTATTGGACAAGTGTCGAACAGCGACTCCGATCAAATGCAACAATTCGTACAACTGTTGGAAAACTACGACAATTATTTAATACAACTGTTAGTTTTTTTTAAACTAATTTACGTATTATTTTGTTTATTATTTTCTTATTTTCTTAGTTTGACTTTACTAATTATTTAACTTCAGCTTATGCATCAACTAATGTAACTCTCATGGATAGTGATCTTGTCATTGTAGAAGAAACCGATTATTTATATAACGTTTCATCAATTATTGAGCAAGTGTCACCACGTATATTACAAAATTATGTTATATGGCGTTTTATGATGAATCTAATTGGCGCTTTACCAAAGCGATTTCGAAGCATTAAAGACAATTTTGATCACGTATTCCGTGGAACTACTACTGAACAAGCACGTACAGTTATTTGCGGACGTTTTGTAAATAGTGTTATGGGATTTGCTATATCAAAACTTTATATAAAAAAATATTTTGATGATAATGCTCGAAATCAAGTAAAACAAAATTCTTTTATTTGTTATATTTTTAATAATTTTATTTAAAGACACTTGAAATGATTGCTAATCTTCGAAAAGTATTTATTGATATGCTTGAAAATTCGACATGGATGGATAGTATGTCAAAAACTAAAGCCATAGAAAAAGTAGAATTAATAATAATTATTTTACTGATAAAATTTTAATGGAAATTTATTTAATAGGCTTTAGCTATTGATGAACAAATTGGATATCCAGACTATTTAGGTAGTGATAATGTTACAGAGTTAGAAATATAATATGCTGATGTATGTATTCTGTATTGAAAATGATAATTTCATATTGTATTATTGAATAATTTAGTATGTCTTCGATTTATCTTTTATCAATAATATGTTAAAATTACTTCAAATAATAGCCAAAGAAAAATTTCAACTTCTTCGGAAACATGTTGATCGCAAAGCATGGGATTCTTCTCCACCGACTACTGTTAATGCTTGGTATGACCGATTAACAAATCAAATTAGTAAATTTACTTTTTTATTCGTTCAGTGAATATATAATTACATCGTTTACTATATTTAGCTTTTCCAGCTGGTTATCTACAAATGCCATTCTTTGATAAAGATGCACCAAAGTAAATCCATTCGTTTTTATTTTTTATTTCTATACTTGATAAATTTTAAATCTTGTAGATATTTGAATTATGGTGGTAAATACTTTTTAATTTGTTTTTAACTGTTTGTTGATTCTTCAAGATTGTTGATTGTTTATAGGTATTGGATATGTCATTGGACATGAAATAACTCATGGATTTGATGATACTGGTCGTCAGTTTGATAAAGATGGAAATCGAATCCCATGGTGGAGAGAAGAAACAATAGAAAAATTTATTGAACGTAAAACATGTATTGTTGATCAATATAGTAATTTTACTGTACCAAATCTTAATATCAATGTAAGAGTTCATTTTTTTATTTGAAATTCTTGATGGAACATATTACTTTTTTATAGGCAAATGGAGACAAAACACAAGATGAAGATATTGCTGATAATGGTGGATTACGTGTAGCTTTTTATGTCAGTTAATTAAATTGTATATAGTTGGAAAGCTATATTTCTATTTTATTTTAAAGGCTTATCAAAAGCTCATAAAAGCTAATCCAAATGCTGATAAAAGACTTAAGGGTCTTTCAAAGTATTCACCTAAACAAATGTTTTTTATAAACTATGCATATACACGGTGTGCAAAAATGACCGATGCATCTGCACGTAATTATGTTGTTTCCGATGATCATTCATTAGGACAATTTAGGTACAAATATTTTGCATTAATAATAATTTTGATTCATATATATATCGATTTATTTTATAGAGTCAATGGTCCTACATCAAACTTTGTTGAATTTGATCGAGCATTCAATTGTAAACCAGGTCAACGAAATAGTCGAGTGAATAAATGTACTGTATGGTAATGCCATTTTTATGAACGTTTTTAAAAAAAACACTACTCGATTTTTGATTAATAAATACAACAATATCAATAGTTATTTATATTTATATTATAAGCATTGTTGAAGAAGGATGTAACTCTCAAAAACTATTTCATAATTTAATAATTCTATTCATCTATCGATGTATAGAGTGTGATGTAATGATTAAAAGTACCATCAATGCTAATAAGTTTTATAACTAACTTAAAAATATGTTAACGATGTGACTTTATTTATGAGAAATAGTAAAGATTCATGCAATGGTTGAGTTTAGGATTCAGTAAATTCTTGGAATTTTATATTACATCAATACAGAGAAATAACTTCCACGAGACAATTCAAACTGCATATTATTTGTGTTCTAATGTTTGATGAACATAATTAATAAACAATATGACTATTATCATCGTTCTTTCGAGCATGGCAATGAACCAAATACGAATAACATAGAAGAATTTCAATTCTTTTAAATAACAAGATTCATAATTTCTCAAGCATTTTTGATGAAAGAATCTCTATGTGCTTATAATCAAATGTACGAATAGTTCTTCCAATTAATTTTTTTCTTTTTTATCTTTTATTTTTCAATGCTTGAAAATGTCATTCTGCTTAATATTCCTCAAGAGTATATAAAAGTAGCGTGGCTAGAATTGCAAAAATACATGACACAATTTATATTTTTAATTCTATGCTGTTTTTTTCAAGAACATTATAGATTATCATATATATATTTCAAGCATAGTTCATCGCTCAAGACCGTATTTGTAAGAGAAAACTAATGCAACAACAGAAAAATAATATAATATTTAACATCTATAATCATATGCATGAATAGTTTTGTTATACACACTAAAAAACAACATTGGATAGATTATGTTTTTATATACTTAGATCGGTTTGTATTAGATTTTTGACAAAGAATGATGTAGTCAACTAGATGATTTTACCTGTTTTGAATTATACAATTGAGATTTTTAATAAGTTCGAAAATAATAATGAGTTTTTGTTAAATAAACTGATAAAGAAAAAAGATTTAAATATTCAACTACACTTCTTGTGTTTTCAGTTCCATATTTAACTTGAATTATTAGATAATAATTCAAGTTAGTATGTAAAACGTTAAGTGAGAATAGTTTCAGTAATTGTGTAAGTTAAATATAATCTTTAGAGAAACGTAACATATAATCTACGTCATTCTACATCAAACAGTAAATCAAAAAATCGTAATAATTGTTATAAATTAAAATAAAACATGAATATTTTAAGAGATATTCAAATAGCTTAGAAATAAGAATCTACATCATTTTTCTAATTAAATTTGATATCTAGGCACGTTATATTATTTTCAAATGCTTCATTTGACCTACTCATGTTTTCAGTTGGCTAGAATATATCTGTAAGTTATTGCTATTATTGTATTTCCAATAAATAAAGAAGTAACACAAGTACATGCCATTGTTTTCATATAGAATGTTTCTATAGTCGAATTAGATTCTTGTTATAAACGACCATTAATTAGTAGTATGATGATTAAGTATAGTCTAGCCTGTAAATCGTAATGATGGTAGTATTAGTTATTAAATAGAAGAATATTATGTTTCCTAAAAAATGAAAGACATCATGCGTATATGACAGTTAACTATGCTGATTATTCGCACGAGATAATACAGGAAAATATCTACACTCTCATAAATGTTTTTATTTTATTATATACTGCATATTAATATTACGAGCTGACCGATTAATGGTTGATTTATACTGTAACTAATTGTTTTGCAATTTATATAAAAAAAACTATTTTCTTTTAATCAAGTGGTAAACAACAGAGACTTTATGCCTAAAGTCTCATGAAGTCTCACGAAATCTTTGAAGTCTCTAACAGTCTTTTAAGTCTTTAGAAGTTTTCAGAAATCTCATGAAATCTTCTGGAATTTCTATATATGCATTCATTTCACAGGGAGACAAGGGAGAAACAACAGAGACTTCATGCATAAAGTCTTGGAAGTCTTTTGAAATCTGTGAAGTCCGTTGAAGTCTCTTGTAGTCTTCTAAAGTCTCTAGAAGTCTTCTGAAATCTATGAACTCTTTTGAAGTCTTTCGAAAAATGAAGTTTCGCTTGTTGAAGTCTCTTGAAGTCTTTAAAATCTTGAGGTTCGCTGTTTCCCCCTTGCTTTTAATTAAACATTGAAGTATGCCTCGATTAAGTTTAAGATGCATCTTGAATTACTCTTTGTTTTTGTAGTTGTATTTTGAGAATTATTCAGTATTCATTATTATTGAAATTTTTTTGATTTAAAACATATTTTATTAATTATGACATACATTGTATAGATGCACTGTAAATATTCAATGAATATGACAATTTAAAACTCTTCTTAATTGGAAAAAGAAAAACAATTCTTAAATATACGTATATTTTTTTTCTCCATAGAGATAAAATAAACGCTAGAATTAGTTTTTTTTATTTCAAAGCTATTTTCTCGTATAATTTGGTCTAAGTAATTTGTTTGATCTTCTTCATTGTAAATTAAGTGAATAATCATTATGTACTTCTCGAACATATTATTTAAATACTTTTACTGAGAAACACATTAGTTGAATTGCAAATATAACAATTTTATGTAAGAATATAGTTAGTGTTGTAAACTAATTTTTAGTTGACAATTTTTTTCTTTCTGATATTTCAATGGATATATTAAAAGATGGTTGTTTTTTATATAAAAATAGTAACTTTAAAAAAACTCGGCTTTTCCTCTGTTAGATTTCACGCAAAAATCTCAAATTCTTCAAAAATATCTTAAAGTTCAACAGTAGGTTAAATAGTTATCAGACATTATGATCGAAGCTCAACGATTGCGTTTTTTTAGTACTCGCGGTGAATATGTGTGTTCGACATTTTAGCTCTAGAGAGGCTGCACTGACAAGCTTTTTCTATTAAATAATCATTTATAATCATATAGTATAATATAATACATTCATATCCAATCACTGGAAAAAAATAATGAGTGCTTATTTTTTCACGGATAACATGTAGGACAAGTAATAGTAACATACTATATTAAATCAACAAGAAATATGCATTTTGAATTTTTTTTACAATCAACAACGATTAAACTAGCTACGAACATTTTTTAAATAGGGCAAGACAGGTTTAAGTAGTGTTGTCGATTTAAATAGCTCTCCATCAGAAAATAATGAGTAGATTAAATAGCTAAAAAAAATTAAGTAGCTATGTAAGTAGTTATGCATTAGAAGATAATGAAAATATTAAATAGCTAGTGAAGAAAATAAAACCATAGGCCATAAATAGCTAAGAAGATATATTAAATAGTGCTGGAGATCAAATAGTTAATGAGCAGAAGATTGAGAAGGTTGATAGCTAAGTGGAAGTCTAGTAGATACTTTTCTTTGCTATTTTCAGAGATTGTTTATATAACAAAAACTGTATCTCTTTCGAGAATGAACCTATGGAAACATATGTTGGTAGTTAGTATGTTATCTTTATGAGAATTTTTTTCATTTTAAAATCTAACAAGTAGATTCTATCTTTCTTTTTTCTAATATAGATTAATATTAACATTATCTTCAAATGGGTGGATCATGTTCAAAATGTGGTGCAACTGTTGTGATACCTACAAATGTTTCATTCAATCAAATACCAGTTGTACCAGAAAAATCCGGTTCTTCAAAACCGACACGACTTGTCGAAAATTGTATTGTTATTTGGTTATTTGATGATCCTTCAAGAAAATTCGAAAACGAAAAAGAACAATTACGACGTCTTGTTTATGGTTTTCAAGTATTTAACAATGCTGATTTATGTGTTGATTATATAAGAGATATTCAAGATGAAAAAATCTTTCTTATTACATCAGTAACATATCAATCAACTATTAATCTTTATCATTTACCACAACTTGAAAAAATTTATATATTCGATACATTATCTCATGATGATAATAAGCAAAATTTACAATATAATGTCTTTCGAGATATAAATAATCTTTGTAAACAATTAGAAGAAGATATTGAATTATGTGAATTTGATTTAATATGTTTTTCAACATTTTCCGATGATACAAAATCATCAATAATTCTAACGAAAGAACAAACAGGATTTGTTTTTATACACATTTTTAATGAAATTATGGCTCGAATAAAATATGATAGTGATGCAAAAAACTTTTTTATCGATTTTTGCCGAATATGTTATGAAAATAATGATGAACAATTACGTATTATTGATGAATTTGAAAAATATTATCGTCCTCATAGAGCACTTGATTGGTTAAAAAGACCATGTTTTATTTCTAAAATATTAAGTCGAATGAGACGTATTCATGAAACCGATATTGTATATAAACTTGGTTTCTTTCTCAAACATCTTAATATGCAACTTATACATTTGCATGAAGAAAATGCATTATTAATGAAAAATATTTCGATTGTTTATCGTGGTAAAACTATGTTAAATGATGAATTTGAATTATTATTAAAAAATAATTGCCATGGTCTTTTATCGTTTGCTAATTTTCTTGGAACAAGTATTAATAAAGAAAATATGATTGATTTTATTCGTCATCGACTGGCAATACATCCTGATAGAATAGGTATTCTTTTTGAAATACATCTTGATTCTATGATATATGATGAAAAAAATCCATTTGCTCTACTTAATGATGATAATTCGAAAAATAGTGAGATTTATTTTGATACGGGTTGTGTTTTTCGAATTGAATCTATTGAACAACTTAATGAAGATTTACTAATGATTTGGTGTGTAAAATTACAATTAATTAGAAATGATGATCCACAAGTAGTTCGTATCCTAGAACCTTTTCGAACTGACGAACAATATGAAAATCCATTATCTTGTTTAGGTAAATTACTTATGAGTATGGGAGAATATAAGCGGGTTGAACAATTTTTTCTTGAAGCATTAAATGATAGTGCTGTTTTAAGTCAACCTCGTCGTCTTGTACGTACACGAACTGGTCTTGGTTCCAATTATATACATAAAGGTGATTATATCGCAGCATTAATTCATTATGAACAAGCACTAAAAGTTAGTTTGACTTATTTGCCATCCGATCATTATAATCTCGCTCCTATACATAAAAGTATTGGTGATTGTTATTTAAATCAAAACAATTATGAAAATGCTTTAACAAATTATGAACGAGCCATACACTTAATAGAAAGCAATACACAATCACCAAAATCTTCCACAATTACTGAATTACAAAATCTTGTTAATAAAACGAAACAATTAATTGAAAATAATAAGTCATTATTGTTAATTGAATCTCAGAAGTAATTTGACAATGTATAAATAAATTTATTGAAAGCTCTCTAAGTTATATTAAAAACTCTATTTCGTGTTGAAATGTTTTGTTCTTCAATAAATTCTTCTTAATATTCAACGAATTTTTCATTTTTTATTTATATCATTTCATGAAAAAGCGTGTCTATGTCGGAGTACAGATTGGAATTTTGCTTTGGACTAGGATAGTGTGAGGTTTTAATGTGTCGTATTCACAGCGGACTAGGATGGATTGGAATTTTGAAAAGAACTAGTATAGAATGGACTGGGTATATGTAAGATTGTTTGGGAAGTATTAAAAAACGATCAATTTTTAATATGTGAAATAATTTAACGATATGCAGCGCACAGATAAGCTTTAAACAGAAGTATTTTATTCGAGAATCAATAAATAAATGATATACATAGATTGAAGAGTATAGGGATATGCGTGACCTAAATATGAAATGTTTATCTTTTATTATATTTATACAGTCATATCGACTTTACAGCAATTACAGAGTTACTAATACATATGGATGTGCTGGTGATTCAAGCACAAATCGATGATAGTGCAAACGAAAGAAGACAAAATGTTGCTTACAATGTTTTAATAGAATCGATATGAATTATAGAAAATTTTCTTGTTCTTTGTCTTGTTAGAAAAACATTCATTTTTTCGTTAGAAGTTTCCGTATGAAATATGTTGAGCCTCTGAATTTATCTCGTTTCATTCCATTCTCTACTACTTCTTTTCAAAATTTCAATCCGTCCTAGTCCACTGTGAATAGGACACGTTAGAATCTCACATTATCCTAGTTCAAATTACAATTCTAATCTATACTCCGACACTATTCTTAATGATAATCCTATCCACTCTCACTCAAATTAGAGATTATTTATTTACAATACTTTTAAATATTTAAAATCAAATAATTATTTCACAGTTTACAGGCAAATAGATGGTATTGTGAAGAATATAGTACTAGTCTTTGATAGCGAAACAAATGTAAATATCTGTCTCTATACGCTTCAATATTTCTTTTGGATCTAATTTGATAAAAAAAATTGATGTTAAGAATATTTGTTGTTTTTTAGTATCAAGACGTTGATTTATTTTACTTTTGAAAGAGTACAAATGAAAAGGAAAATAATCAATAATTAAAATCTATTTCTGAAGAATGAACTCATCAGCAATATTATTATCATCATTATGATAATATATTAAATGTAAATATGTTTTGTT